GTACTAGGTTGAGCTTGAAAATAGATTGGGCCTCAAAAGATTATGGGTCATTCTATTCCTATCCTATTTGGTTCGGTTGGTTTCCTGGCACCACGATTATATTTGACAAATCCTGTCACCCAACCCATTTACATAATTAGCTAGCCAACTAACTAATTTTAATTCATTCATTTACCAACAGTCAATACAAAACTTTCAAATATAACTGCCCGGGCTTTTTGCCACGTATGACATATGCATGACGCATGTTTTATGTTATGTTGGTCACCCTTCTATTTCTTCTATTCCTTTTCTATTTCTTCTGTTCAATTCCTTTATTTTTTTACCTGTCGGGGCCTGCGTGTTCTCGTGGTTTTTGTTTGTAGCTTTTCTTTCTCTTATTATTATTATTATTTTTAATGGTAAAGCCCAATGTGATCTAGTCCATTGGAAAATGATCTTAACTTACGGACTAGAAGTCTTATGTTCGAACACTCATGACATCAATAAGTTCTTGTGTGAGAAACCCTCTCTCATATAATTTAGACTATTGTTTATAGTAAAAATAATAATACTAATTAATAATAAATAATATTATAGTAGTGGGCCAGTAGGGAAAGGAAACTTGATAAGTTAAAAGTGTAGAAATATTTGCGTCGTAGGTTATCCGTCGCATCCACTTCTCAACCTCCATTCCATAGTCTCTTATCTCTCTCTCCCTTCCACTCTGAAAGTTGACGACTCTATATTTTAGCGTACTTGTTTCATACAAAACCCACCATATTTAAATTCCTAATCACTCAACACCTACCTTAATTCCTATTTGTATATAATATTCCCCAAACTCAAATTCACTAGTTTTCTACTTCTTCTTTTTTGTGGACGAATCACTAGTTTTCTGCTTACTCACACTAAAAGAGAGACATTTGTTCATTCATACACGTAAGCATGCATGCATTCATAAAAAAGCAGGCAAATATATATATATATGGCAGCAAAGTAAAGCAGCCTGTCACACGGTACCTTTCAGCTCACCAAAATCAAAACTGGTTGGGTAAAATACACAAAACATGCACGCCAAGAAACACACACTCCACAATTACAAGTCATGAGTGATGAGATGACCACCTTCTCCTCCAGTCTCCAGACTCCACACCCCCCCCCCCC